TTTTGTTCGAAATCCAAGCTCTGTATGCAAAAACTGAGTAAAGCTTCAATATCTTAGCAACAAAGCACCACGGGGATGAACCAACTTAGAGTATTTCACTACTCGCTGAGGTCTACAAGATACAAGTAGTACGGTTTCAAAAGCGATTTATCACCTAAAGAGATTCCCTCGTTAGTCAATATAAAGAGAAAAATCAAAAATCAATGTTAATCTACTTTTTACTTGTCTTTGAGAGTTAGAATGAACCGCCCAGAAATTAGACCGTATAAGATGTTTAGACCTGGGTCATAGATTCCATATCTACCCATCTCTGTTAATGTGTGTTTCCTATAGTTGCAATTCGGATTTCGTATCGTATTCTTTTTCAATCGGCAACGACTAGAACAGCAATATATTTTTCCAAAAAAAATGTTTAAAAATAAAAAAATTATTATATAATGAATACTAGAGCTATAGTATGTAATATATAATATGCTAAAACAGAAAAAAAAAGCAAAGAAAAAGTTTTAAAAGAAGAGATCAGATACTGGAGCTGAAAGAAAGAGAGTGAAAAAAATTTGTCTATGACCTGAGCATTTTTCATTTTTTTAACGAAAAACAAACACTTTTTAAGTAAAAAGAAAAAAAAAGACTTGAAAAATTCCCAAGCAAAGTTTTTGTTTTACTCTTACTCAAATTACATAAGCTTAAAAAAAGCGTTGAGCGAAATGCACGATTAATGAAAATTGTAGTTTCACGATATCAGACATGAGCCACATGACAAAAGAGAGAGGCTACAGGACATCATTAATTGAGCACATTGCTTGGAGCAAGTGGAGAAGAAGAAGCACTAACAAAATGGATTAATATATAAATTGAGATAAAATAATAAATACGATGATTTATTGTCAAAAATGAAGAAAAAGCGATGTTTGATGTTGATTTTAATGCTGAACTGGGTTTATCACAATAGAGCCATTCTGTATTGATTGAACGAGGATATTCGGGTGCAGCTTCCATATAGGAATCATTCAAACGCCAAAAATCAGTACCTTTGAAAAAATATGTGGCACCTACAAAAAAATACAAATAATTATTAATCATCGAATTTAGCCCACACTAGTTGAAGTTTCTCATTTATTTTAGCATGAAAAGAGCGGATAAAAAGGTATAATGACGCTTTCTTGAAGTTTCAATTAGATTTCCTATTTTTGAAGTCTTTAAATAAATAAAATATCTTTTTTCTATTTCGAACTAGAGACACGGTTCGGTTAGTTAATCGCAATTAATACTCGATTTCAGACAGTTACCATCTGTCTAACAGACATATTTTAGTAGCACGTAGAAAACCGAATAAAACTTAATGGATCGGTGATGTAGTAGTCATGCGATCGGCAATATTTTCATTACATTACCTGTCATATCGACGAAAGCATCATCCAGCGGTATATCAATTCCTTGCCACATTTTCATATCTCTTGGATAGTCGATTCGCTGTACTAAATTTTCATTCTCATTAAATGCCCAATATAAATTTTCCCAGACTAAATAGGCGTGTGAATTATATGCCCAATAGAACGCAGCATCGATACGTTTCACATGTTGAGGTAACCCTAATGTTGTTAAATTACGGGGATACGACGAATCATAAACAAAATTATCTTCAAATAACCAGTATTGATTTCCTACATAACAAAAATAAAAACAGAAATAGATTATTTAATAAAAGAAAACATGAAACTCTCTACCTGAAAATAGCATAAGTAAACCGTCTGAACGCTCAAAGGCGGCATCAATTCGGTTTAATTTTTCTGGTAAACCAAGCCAAAATGCATTGTTTAACATTGGAGAATAGGGATTTACACCGCGACTATCAAACTGCCAATGATACTAAACGAAAACTAGTAATATTAAATAATTTGATTGATACAAATTAATATAGTTGTTTAAAATAAACAAATTCTTCCAAGCTAAATTATCTCTACTGCTTTCTTACCTGTTCTTTAAATATAAATAGATTTCCGTGATACATGGTTACAGCATCATAATAGCCGTCACATATATCTGGGGTTATATACTGTTCTTTATTGATCAAAGACGGATATTCATTCGTGTAATTATACATATTCGTCTGTACACTAGTCGTTGTAGATATCCATGCACTAGTTCGACTAGTAATAACGGGTGTTAGTATAGTAGATTTAAATATCGGTCTATCTATTCGACTACGAACTCTATTTATTGAGTTAATTGTTGTACCTCGATTAACAAACGACGATGTAGTCGATGTAAATGTATTTTTTGCTTTTAAATTTGATTCAAATGCGCGTAAAATAGGATTTTTGACTGTCGTTGTCATATTTATTGTGGTTAACATCGTAGTTGAATCGGTTACTGTCGAAGGTAAAACAGTTGTATTTACTAATACAACTGCTGATGAAAAACTATCAACGGTTATCAAATTGGTTGTGGTGTCAATAAACGATGTTATTTGTTCATTATCTTTTATAGCAGAGGTACTGATTGATTGTGATTCTATTAGTGGTGGAACGATTTGTGGTGGCTCTTAAAATGAAAGAATCGAATTAATCAAGATGATATTTATGATTATATAAAAAAAAACTCTAAATATCTCTAAATATAGTTAAGAGACAGAAGAAATATGGATAAGGATTCTTGTACAATATATATGTATAGATGTAAATTAATAAGTCAAATGTATCGGCAAAGAAAGCAGAATGTAAGCAATCAAATGAAGATATTATTTGTATTTAATAGTCAAATTTTATACCTCCATATAATGTTCTTATTCCTGCTATGTCATCTGAATGTAATTTAATATCGGGCGAATATCCACGATAATATGGAAACATAATTGCATCAGGAATGTTAGAATGCATTAATCCCAAACTGTGACCTAATTCATGTACGGTCACAGAAAATAGATCCACTAAAATTGAATATAATAAATATAAATAATAAGAAATATATTAGACTCTTACTTAATCCATATTCATTTTCACGATAAGCAGTCCAATCTTCATCTTCATCATAATGAACATCGCCACCTAAATATTCATCAGGATAAAATGCGTGTGCAAGTACAGCACCTAAAACAAACGAATATTTTATTTTTTATTTTTTAAATATATCATAATTACATACCTTTTCCATCAAATCGATATCCATCTTCATGATAACCCTGAGCAAATAAAAACTCAATATCGGGTTCTTCTTGTTCGGTTGCTGCACGAAATCTTAACATACTTGGATAACTCCAGATTAATAATGCATGATAAATAGCTCGATCGACAAATTCACGAGACATATCCGGAGTATAATTGGTTATTCTAAAAAAAACAAAAAACAAAAAACAAGAATGTTTATCTCCCGCTAATCATTCGAATTTCTTATATTGAGAGAAAAACTAGAGTGAATGTTGATGGATTGACTTTTCATACAAAAATAAACTGATTCTTGACACTTATGTCAATTGGATAATGGTCTATGGGGCAATTAATGGCGCTTTGAAGACAATAATTGTCGTTAGGCAATGGTTCGATAGTAAAACTTTGGAAAAACTATACACATTTTTCGCTTTTTTGTTAAGTCACATAATTCTATTTTCTGATGAAAGACTATTTTATTTTCAGATATAATTTGAATACTATTTTTTTAGAATAGTATTATTTTTATCTAAGAATCGTATTTTATTTGATAGACTGGGATATTATGATACATCGTAATAGTAAAAATAGTGAATGCTATTCTTCTAATAATAATATTCATTTACATTCTATAGTAAGTCGATTAGAAGTTAATGAAACACATAATCATATTGGTGGTGGTGATGGTGAACATGATGAAAACAGTTATTCGAGCAAAAATCAATTATTATTGAAAAAACATTCTAATTATGATAATAATGATTGTGAAAGTGAAAAGAAAATCAATCATAATCAGTTAGGACATTATAACATGACGAATAATAGTGATCATAATTCATATGAAAAACAAAATATAATTGGTAAAACATTGTTGTATGTCCACTATTAGCTAGTGTAAAACATAATTTATTATAGACCAATTATTCAATTTTTCTAATATTTCCAGTTTAAATAGATAATAGTTTTGTATGAAAAGAAAATTGTTACATTAAAATATCATATGTAAAACTATCGTAATAACTATAGACCATTTATCCTCTCTTACTATGTGTATCTATTGTTATTGTAATTGCATTTATGCTATGAACATATTCATGGCAAAACTTTCATTTCTCTTTTATCTTCTTAGATATATTTGTCAACAAATTATGTTTAGAGTTAGAAAAAAAGCTTGTTTATATATTTCAGAATTAAAACAAATACCCATTACTATCAACACAATGAATAAGAATGATTCAATGACAACAACAATTATACAACGAAAAAAATATGGTTTAAGTAAACAAAAACAAATGGATTTTCTTAAAAATTTTAAGAAAAAAGATGATTTATTAGAAATGAATAAAAATAATTTTGGACAACAAAATATCACAAAAGATTTTCTATTACGTACTATTCCTTATAAACATGTTATATTTATAAATTTAGCATCAACAAAATTACAACTATTCAATGATAGTGATAAGAAAATGATATTTAAATTAAAAACAACAGTATCTGAAGTCATAGCATCACAACCCTGTCGAGGTATTGTGCTTGAAATCATCAATTATTATTTTAAATTAGAACGGTAGATGTATATCTAATGTTTATTTTTTTCAAACTTCCACTTTTTATTTTGGAAGAAAAATTAACCTTTTTTTAGGTATTATTGAACCTCATTCTTATGTTCAATGTCAACTAACACCTATCGAAATAAAACATCGTGTTCTACTTGTTATTCAATATGCTAACTATTCTTCATCTATTCTCGATCTCAAATCACAAAATTATAATCAAATTTGGAATATTCTTCCACATCAAACTATCCATATTAAAAAATTACAATGCATATTTGAATTATCCAATTTATTACAACAACAGCAACAAGGTGGTCAGTATACCATTGAATATAATAATAAAAGTGTACATTCGTATTCACCAGTCTTATTAAATTATTATCAATTACCACGTACTAATCATTTGAAACAACGAAATTCGTCTAACTTTTTACGATGTACCGCACCAGTGAGAAAGAACGCATCGCTTAGTCTAAAGCAAAATTCTATTCTCAATCGACAATCTTTGTCGATAATGTCAATGATGAGAAAAGTAATGCCAACATTTGTGACACTCGCAACATTTGGAGCTGTCTCGGCACTTTTATACTACAGATTAAAACGACAATAAACACTAAAAAATTAAAATTAGATGAAATATACTCCCGCTACTTTATGGATGAATCATAATTTTTGTCAATTTTAGTTTAGAATATTGCTCTATATTTTAAAACAGAATGGCCACATGCTGTAACTATTGAATAATTCGAGAATGACGATAGATAGAGAGCTGCGCAGACTTAGTAAAGAGACTTCTAAAGTCTTTTTCGAACGTTCAATTGAATTACGACGTAGACACGTTAGAAAATCATTTTCAAATTGTTTTGACTGTGCAAGTAGTATTTTGACATTCAGCATTTCTTTTTCAACCATCAATTGTGTAAAACGTATTAAATATGGATATTTTTTATACTAAAACATTTTCTTCTCTATGTAAATTCTTTTAAATTTTAGAAATGATTAAATGAAAGATAAAAAATAGGACGGCTCAGCAGTTATAAATTACTTCATAAAATATCAGGCCAATAGGGAAACTGATAACATCATAGCCGTACAGTCAGTATCGAACCTGCGTACTTATGTTTTCTGATCGAATATCCTTCCAGTTAAGCTATTCCATCAAATCACTCTTATTCGAAAATTTATATCAAAAAGTTTCAACATTCTAATTTTATAATTTTTCCATTTATTTCTTACACTTACTTGTACGTAAGATAGGTTTTTGCCCATTTTTGACCTTGTAAAACATAACGTTTTTTTCGATTTCCAAATGATTGTGGTCGTTGTATATGACGATTATCAAAATCTGGCAAACCACATCTTGGTCGACGAATCAATTTTACCGTTGTTTCATCCAATTTTCCCTATATAAATGAAAACACTGATAATCAACAAGAAAAAAATAAAATGATCATTCTATTCTCTGTTAAACGTACCGTCACAGGTATACCAGCATAGTGTTGTAATCTTCTAATAGCTGAATGTATTTCAAGATCAGTGCGCAATGCACGAGTTTCTAAATCAGAACGTGGAAGATATCCATATTTACTCAAATACATCTGCTAAAAGAAAATAATAAACTATTAAAAAAAATTCTTAAAATTGATAATAATAAAAAATAATTTTGTATATTTTACTTACTAATTCTCCTAAATTTTCTTTATGTTCAAATATTGAATATCTTTCACGTTTATCTCGAATTGGTATTGATAAATTTATTTTTGCCATATAAATTAAAAATATTGATATTACTAATAATAATTGAAGATTAAGTACATTGAAGAAGCCAATTATCATAGTAAGTGATCATAATATTTTCTAATATTTAACGTTAATTAAATAATTTGTGTGGTATTTAGCAAATTTGCGTTATTAACATAATAAAATAATAATAAGAGAATATTTCTAGTAGATAACATTGGTGATGTTGTTGTTATTATTGCCTAATATGACGAATGTTCACAAAAAAACTATTCTACTACACATATACATACACAAAAAAATCATTGAAACACAGAAATGGTCTACTATCAATTGATTGCAAAAGAAAATTCTCCTATTTCTAATCGATTTCGATCTAAATGTATGCCATATGAGAAGAAAAAGATGAAAAAAATGTCGTTCAGCCTAGATAATTGTATAGTAATAATCTATCTACCTCTGATAATCGCCAATAAATATATGTATCTATAAAGAAGAAGAAAAATATTTTCTTTGTAAACAGATAACCAGTTGTTTTCTTTTTCTTCTTCTCTTCTATGTGACAAGAGAAAAAAAAATCTGATTTTGATGATTTTTTAGGAACACCTTGTATGTTATATTCCTACTCTGATTTCTGTCACCAACTTATCGTCATTGTCCATGATATATATATATATATATATATGTATATATCATGCGTTATCATCATTAGTATATAAAGTATAGAAAAAAGAAAATGAGAACAGTGAGTTAGATAATATTTAGTTCGGACATCGTAGGTTAAGTATAATATACATGTTTGTCTTTATTTTAAGATTTTAGGTTTATTGTTATCAGCATATACAAATAATGCCTTGAAACTGTCTCAGTTCGCTCGATAAAACTCGACATTCTATTAGGAAAAAAACGGAACTGTTTTTTTTTTGTTTTTTTTTTTGTTCTTTTACCAGTTCAACTTAACGTTAGATAATAATTCCGATATGAGACCTTGTTGTTGGATTATGTGGTTTGCTTAAATGACACAATCGTATTGACGTCGACAAGTATGTGAAAGTCAATCTTTAAAGCTAAGTTCTTTTTTTAGTCTATCAACATGACAAATATTGATGATCAATTGATATTATTCATTGCAAAAATGATATAATCAACTAAGTACAAGGTAATTATAGTCTATATTGACTAGAAGAAGAAAAAAAAAATAAGCTCTTCTCAATTCTACACAAGATATTGAAGAACTCAAAATCATTCGTCAATCAGATTGTACTACTATTTTCACTTAAAAGAGCACTTTGCTTATTGATTATTGAGAAAAAAATTTGTTAGAGAATTTCGTATGAAAATTAATCTTAGCTCATACAAAAGGTCATCTTTGTGTGTATGGTGCATTTGGATACACCATCTATATAATCTTTGCTATCTGACTGCAGGCATGTCCAATAAGTATTAAAAAGCCATCTGTTTGTCTGCATGGTAAACTATTTTTTACCTCGAATATACTATTTATATATACAAACGTTAAATAAAGGCATTTCTACTATACGCAGCCTTAAGATATTCTGTTTCTGCTATATAATTATAATAAATATACCCGCGCGCCGCGTGTAACAGGTTGTTAATATTTAACATTTTTCGGCTTCGGAAGAAAAAGATGGTAATGGAAGAACAGTACAGTCATTGTACTATATAAAAAAAAAGTACAGAAGAAATCAATATTTGTAATAGAGGAAGATCAATCAGTCAATCATATTTTGCGGCTTTTCTTTTTATAAGAAAACTAAATAATCGCCTATTAGAAGAAAAGAAGTGAATGAATTAAGTAAATAATAAAATATTAATGATTAAAACTGATTTTGCCTTCCTCTTTTTCTTGTCTTATATTGACAAAAAAAGTTAGAGAATAATAGAATATGAGAAAGGAGTAGTTTTTTTTGTACACTATAATGACATGTATTTATAAAAATTAGATTACAATTTATGAGATTGTGAGAAAAATACCTTGAACTTGAATTGGCTATTTAATGACCCAGATAGAAGAGTGTAGATAAAAAAGGTCTCTCGATAGTGAGAAAAATAAAAAATCTTAAGTGTAAAATGTGGTTTACTCTTCTCTTTCTATGATGAAAATATTGACATTTTTAAACTTTGTTTTTCTTATTATACTACTGATATGTATACCAATAAACAACACGATATTTCCCAAATGATTTTCTTCTTTAGATTAAAAAAATACTTGACATCAGATAGTTTTAAAAGAAGAAACTAAAGTAGTTCTACCAATTTTGAAAAAAACTAATGAAATTGATTAGATTGACGAATTAAACACAATATCTGCTATAAAACAAAATCATACAGATTTATTATAGTAACAGCTGTATTTCGACACTTTTATTTATAGGATTTTAAATAAAACACAAAAGCAAAGATTTTTGTCTTTAATTATACGTTTCTTTTCTAGTAGGTGAACTGGTTTTGACGCTTAATTTCTCTAAAACATTATGTAACGGGTAGAAAAGGAGTTTACGTTTGTCATTTTCATAGTTCTCTCTTTCAATGTTATGTGTTTTCAACACAGTTAATCTTACCTAGATTCTATTTATATTACTTTGATAAATTGAAAACAATTAGTTTCTTTCAAAAAAAAAAACAGGCAGCATCCTTGTCATTATTAAAGCTGTGACAAATAAATCAGCGATTTCTCTTTTCTTTTCTTCTCTTATTCCGTTAGATTATTACGGGGTGTAAAAAAGAAATTATACTTTTTTTTTCTTTTCCGGTTTCTATCTTAAATTCACTATTTTATTTCATTCGAACCCACATACACTCGAAAAGTTAATATATTACGTGCAATTTGTATTTCTGTGCGAGAGATGTAACAATATCAAATATATTCGTTCTCCAACAAGAATAAAGTTTGAAAGTTCGATGTTTAAAGGGTGACCCAGAAGTCCTGACCCGATTTGAATAATAAATTTTTCTATAGTGAAACAAGTGGTTGTAAATTTGTCTCTATGAAGAAACGATGCAGTAAAAAACGCTCTACAAGATGACTATTGATTGACTCGGTTAGCTCATC